CGTTTGAGTATGTATTTTTAGATTTATTTTTATAAATTAAAAACAGTTTCGTACCCGTTCAAGATGACCGTCAGTAAAACAAAACACCGTTTTTTTTTTTTATTATTATAAACTAGTTGGGTGTCAACAAAAACCGCTATGATCAGTCAATTTTAAATGGATAAAAAGACTGGGCAAGCGTAGGAAACCTGGCGGCGCCTAAAAAAAGTTATCGGCTCATGACTTGCGAAGCGAAACTGCGGATGATGACAAACAGAAAACAAAAACCGCGCCAGAGCGTCGACCTTGCACGCATTTGCGGGACTCAGAAAAACGAAGCACACACTCCAAATATTATTTTTAACATAGAGTGGTTTAGGGGTTGCTGCTAATGACCAATATAATTATGATTGATGCTTTTCACGAATTAAAAGGTTAATTGCACGAAACTAATAAAGCAAGGTTATTTCCGTGTTATGCGTAGCTTGTAATGTAACTTGGTCGACGTTTCTCTTTATTTGTGTGTGTGTGTATGTGTGTGCGTGTGAGCGTGATTGCGAACGCGCGCGTTGGGGGAGGGGGTGGGGGAGAGAAAGAAAACATTTTCTACTCGTGTTTTTATTTTGCGCGTACATGAAGCATACACATCTATCCAATAGAGAAATTCAAGATAGGAACCCCATTAAACGTGTTCGTAACCCCCCCCCCCCCCCCCCCCCAAAAAAAAAAAAGAAGGATGTGCCGATGCGCCAGAACAAAAACAACAAAAACAAAATATTGGAAAAGAACTGCTTCAGCAACTACGCGAGTTCGGTGGAACCGCGGAGGCACAAACACGCTAATCGATTCATGCCGTGCAAAAGTGCGGCAGCACTTCGCAAAAATATCGCCGGAAAGGTATATGGCAAAAAATGTGGAACGCTTCACGATTTTGCGTGTCATCCTTGCGCAGGGGCCATGCTAATCTTCTCTGTATCGTTCCAATTTTAGTATATGTACTTTGGAAGTACACCACCCTACTATGCACGGGGAGTATATAAGGCAGCCCATTTCTGCATTTCCTTTGGTTGCGGACCTCCAAAATGTTATTATTGTTTCCTGATACGTATCCTATTTATCGTATAATTATATCACGTTAAACTGTTTCTAGGACGGCTTAGATCATATCTCTTAGTCTCGGGTCTTTATAACCAATAGAGAACATTTTGTATAAATTATAATTATGCACTCGGTTTGGTTGAATTTGCTGCATAGTTCAATACAATTCGGAT